TATTAATATTATGTACTTATCTTAATGTTATATTAAATTAAAAAAATAATGTATCAAGTTGCTGCATAAAAATAAATTACTATTTATTCAGTGCCTCGAACTAATCTGTTTCAGGTAAAAATGTTCTCAGAAACTAATTTTAAACAATATCCAATCACTTTGTTTAAAATACAAAAACTGATAGACAAAAGTATAACAGATCTTGCGAATTTCATACTCCATTTTGAACATAAATTTAACTTCGATGAAGAAGATATAAATTGAGAAGTGATTATTGATACTTTCACAGAAAAGTTAATCTGATGTAAAACTTATATTTATTTACATTAACTTTATTATAATATTATGTTTATCTATGTTATTAGACTGTAACTATTCACATATTTTTAATTCTTTTTAATATTTTTCAATAAATTTATAAGATTTAGTATTCTGTTAATAATTTGAGAAAACTATTGATAAAATGAATAAAATTTTTTGCCACATTAATATTTTTTTAATAAAAAGTAATTTATGTTATCTTACATGTATAATAACATATTAGACCGCTTGACGTCGTTTGTAGAATATTTTTAGAAACACACTGTAACTCTTATTTATTACATTCTATTCAAAGCACTTGTAATTAAAACAAGTAAATATGATATGTAATCGGCCAAATGACGGTCAAGCAGGATTTTGATTGTTAGTAATAATGTGTAAATTTTATTTACCACGTATGACCTTATCTCGAATATTTTACTTTATTTTTAATTACTGTTCAAAATAGATCAGTTTGTCAACATTTGAGAGTTATGTGTATTCGCATAATCAGTAAGTCATTCTTTAAGTTTAATGATATTTATCATACGCAATTGTGTGATATTTAGAATTAGAACTCTCATCTCGTATTGTATTCATATGTATCTACATTTTTAAATGGTGCGATGGCATCAGAGACAATGCTTTTAATCATTTATTACGTAAGTGACGAAAGCAATTATTATTATTATTATTATGTATTATTTAAGACTGTATTGAGATGTCATAAACTAATTTATAATAGAGCCATATTTGAATCATCAAATGTTATTATTTCGTATAATAGCCGAGGTATGTCCACGCGAGTGAGGAGCGCGCGCCGGCCCTGAGCGCCATGTAGACACAACGCTTATTCGTTAAATTTACATGCTCTACAGCAAAAACTGTTTATCGGACGCAATTTTGTTAAAGGAAAAAGTTATTTGTCTTAGAGCGTAAAGTATTACGTCTTGTACTCCTAGAGCGGGAATTTTGAATCACTCTGTATATTAGTGTATATCAAACGTATGCATAGTAAAAATACCATAGAAAAAACATAAACAGACATTAGTAAAATATAAAAAAAAAAAGAATACTGCAGCTAAAGGAATGTAAAAGAAAAAATATTTTGAAAAACTAAATAATAAAGTTTAATTTATATATACATTTGTAATATTTACTGTATTTTTATACATTCTCATTCTTTAACTTATTATTTTAAGCTTTTATTTTATTGGCAGAAATTGACATATGTATTGTTTCATTTTAATGACAATTACACAATAATTTACGTAGGAAAAACAATAAATTTAAGTAGATATACAAATACGAGAAAAAACCTTTTAAAAAATTTTACTTTGCTATTAACATTCTCATATTGCAATCAATTATTTGAATGTTATACTGTCGAATAATATCTGATATTGCAAAGAAATCATATTTTATCTTTTCAATCTGGTAATTATAGTCATTTATACAATAATCAGATGCTTAAATACGTGTTAAAAAATCTTGAAAGAATCGAATTTGAGTAATGACATCTGTTTGAGAGAAATATATTAAATATTTTATTAAAATTAAAAATTTTTTTTTAATAAGTATATAGCATGTAATCCTAATATGTTACTTTTTTTATATGTATTAAATATTTAATATTATTGTTGAATTTCTTTTTTTATAAAGAGCTTCTTATTTTCAATTCAAGAACTCTATGGCTGGTATTTAGAATTGGTTCTTATTTTAAGATCATTTTATGTAAATAATTCTTAAGATGCTATAATACAATCCTCTGATTGTGATTCATGACATCTTAAAACTGTAGTAGACAAGACGGACGTAT